TCAATACTGTGCATGTTGTTTGACGTTCCTAACATAACCCAACAGCCTAGAGCGACCAAAATCAATGCATGCGGCTATGGAAGTGGCCCGACGCCGAGAAGATCATCTTGTGGCAACTCGAAGGGGACGGGCGGATGCACGCTACCCCGACACGCGACGCGTACAACCGGATGCAAGCAACATGTTTCCGAGCAGCCGACCATCCGATAGTTCTCGACCACCAGTCCTGGAGGTTAAGAGACTGTCGCCCGAGGAAATAAAGCGCCGACGTGAGAAGGGACTCTGTTTCAAGTGCGACGAGAAATTTATGCCTGGCCATCAATGCAATCAGGCTTTTGTCATCCACTTCATCGATAATGAAGAGCCCGAGATCGAGGAGGATTGGGACCAAGAAGTCGAGATTGGGGTTCCCGAAGAGGAGGCCGAGATCTTGATGCATGCGATGGCTGGTACAAGAGGACCGACGACGATGCTGCTGCCGGCGTTGGTCAAAGACCGTCGTGTAGTCGTGCTAGTAGACAACGGATCGTCGCACAACTTCATCAACACCGATCTATCTCAAAAGTTGAAGTTTCCAACGATGAAGGTCGAACCATTTGAGGTCCGAGTAGCCAATGGAGAACAGCTAAAGTGCTCGGAGGCTTACCGTGCGATACCGATTAAATTTCAAGGAGTCACCATCAAAGCCGATCTCTATGCGCTACCCTTGGTGGGACCCGACGTTGTGTTAGGAGTACAATGGCTTGAAGGTTTAGGAAAGATGACCACCGACTACCGGATGGGAGTCATGGAGTTCGACTCAGGAGAGCACCGGGTCACGTTAAAAGCAAGCAAAGATAGCAGAGCCAAGGAGTTTGGTCTCAAGAGTATTGAGCGGGTTTGGCATGATGGCGGTCAGATTTTTACCGTCGAGGAAGTAGGCGCATACGCGAGCATGGTCGAGCATGTCTCGACGGAATATGATGGCCCACCTATCTTCGACGTGTACCTCGAGGATGAACTCATGGACGACGAAGTATTCGAGGAAGCTGAGATCATGGAAACTGAGGTCGAAGGCGAGGTGCCCGAGGATTGGACGATCGAGCTGCAGCAATCTGAGATACGCGAGTTGGTTAGAGCATCCAACCACATACTAGGCGAGTCCGATAAAGAAGAAGGCCGAGTCGACGGGAAGTGTAAGGAGCCTATCTTTCCATTCTCGAAATATTTTAAAGATGTAAGGCCCATCGAGTACGTGAATGAGTCAACGGATTATGAAGGACCGCCTATCTTCGATGTATATCCCGATGAGTACTTTGTCGAGGTTGAAGGCATTTGGGTTGAGTCCAAAGAGGATGTTGTGGTCGAGGTGATGACGCCCCAATTAATGGTCGATGA